CTCTCTCGCTCTCTCTATCTCTCTCTCTCTCTCTATCTCTCTCTCTCTCTCTCTTCTCTCGCTCTCTCTCTCTCTGTCTCTCTCTCTCTCTCTCTCGCTCTCTCGCTCTCTCGCTCTCTCACACACCACTCTCTCACATCTCATTCTCACTCTCGTGTGCGTATGTTGGTATATGTGTGGGGGGGGGGGGCGCGTGTGAGTTGTGTGTGCGTGCGCGTGCGTGGGTGTGGATGTGCGACAGTAGGGGTTTGTTGGCGGTGCGGCCCGGCTGGCGCTGACCGGCGGTGCCGTGACCGTCCACTTCTCAGGTGAAGAAGGCGCTGACGCAGGTGATCGTCGCCCTGGCCCACCGCGGCTTCCTGACGCAGCAGGACGGCCCCGTCTTCATCGAGTTCATCGTGCGCCAGTGCTGCCTGGCCGACGACCCGCCGGTACGTCAGGCGGCGTCGCTCGGCCCCGCCGCAGACGGGACAGCCGGGCTCGGTCTGGCCTTGCCCTGCCAGCCCCACATAAGCGGGGCGTCATATCGACTCGTTACTCGGAGACCCTTAACATCAGGTGGACACGTGACACGGTGGAGAGTTTCATCCCGGCAGAATGCGGTGTTCCGCAGACGCCTCGCTAGTCCTGCATGACTTTCCGCCATATCAGAACAAAGTCGTCCTGAGATTAGGAGGCTGTCTGCCGGTCGGTACGTATCGCTGCTGGTCTACAGACCGTCGATGGCAGACTTCTCTGAGCTGAGGGCGACTCTCGGTGCTGCCGACGCCGGCCGGACCTGCGGTGTCGACTGCGGCGCCCCTCTGACGGCGCTCCCGCCCCGCTGTCGACGACGCCCCTCTGACGGCGCGCCCGCCCTGCTGCCGACAGACGAAGCGGCCAGTGGAGGCCGAGGTGACGGCCGAGTCACTGCGCGCCATGTGTGAGAATGTGCTCCACCTGCTGAGCACCACCGTCGAGCCGATGCTGCCGTTGCTCTGGCCGCACCTTCTTGAGTACGTGGTGCCCGAGTACGCCGGCGCGCTGCCCACTGTCATCAAGTGCGCCGCCCAGCTGGCCGGCCGCGCGCGTCGCATGCAGCCCGAGCCAGACATATACGCCAACAACCGTGAGTAGCCGGCGCGGCCGATAGACGGCGCCGTGACTGGCGCAGAGGAGCACGGGCGGGTCGGGGGCGTCCCGTCGGGCGGAGCTGAACAGGGGGGGAGCCTTTTTAATTGCGGTTGCTTGTAGCTGCCTCTGGCATGCGCCCGTCATGTGCTTGTCATGGCATGTCCCCGTCAGACGCCTCCAGCCCCGTCGTATGTTTGTGGATAGAGACATGCGACTAGGTCATTAGATGGCAGTGGTCCTTGCGTCTCGACGTATGCCAGCTATGTAGAAAGAAGAAATGTACAAGTACATATATGAATGTAATAGCTGTTCACATTTTCCGTTTTAAATGCTACCTTTCGGGCTGACGGGTGGCCAAATCGTCCCCCTTCACGCTTCATATGAGAGCGTTTCTGGATTGTTTGGTGGCGCCTGACGCGCCTGCTAACCGCGCCGTGTCGCGTCTAGAGCTTGTGATGTGACGGCTGACGGCCGGCCGCGCCGCCAGCGAACCTGCATCAGCCGGCCACGCTGCTGTCGTACATGGTGGTGTGGCTGGGCTGTCCTGAGCCGGGCGGCCGCGGCCAGCACGCGCTCCAGCTGATGGACGGCCTGGTCAACCAGATCAACACCGGCCTGGCCGAGCTGTGGGACCTGCGGCTGCCGGAGCTAACCGACAAACTCAACGGTCAGTCGCCGCAGCTCGGGCAAAAACTCAGCTGGTCAGCCCTGGGTAGCTCACCGTCAAACTCTGCCATCATTCTGGGGTACTCCACCGTAAACTCTGCGGCCATTCCTGGGTAGCTCACCGTCAAACTCTGCCATCATCCCGGGCTACCTCACCGTAAACTCTGCCATCATTCAGGGGTAGCTCACCGTCAAACTCCTGTGAGTTGCTGTGCCTGCACAGCAACTCAACAAACGTTGAGTTGCTGTGCAGGCACAGAGCCTGCACAGCAACCTCAACGGCCGTTGAGGAGGGGGTCGCTGACGCATTGGAGGTCGGTCGGGAAGGCTCCCTGGCAGAGTCAGCGGTCGGTGAGCACTAGTTTGCTGTGAAACTCGGAGTTCAGTTGGGGATAGCTCTCTATCGAACCCCATGATCAGTGGGCGACGAGTCGCTGACAGACGTAACGGCAGAGGGTCGTTCGCCGGCCAATTCGAGGACAGCTGGGGATAGTTCTCTGGCAGACTCATTGGTCATTCGGGATTAGCCCAGGGATTGGTACGGTCGTTTGGTGTGACGGCATATCGCCGAATAGCCCGCCAGCTAATCCCGCTTCGTCGCTGAGAGACTCAACAGCTATTGGGTGATCTATCACCACCCATTCTACCCAAACCATTGGGTGGTTTGTGTGCAAACCCAACGCACGTTTGAACAGTAGAAAGTCGGGTGGTGACACACTGTCACACCAGTGGTCAGTGTTATGGGTTAGACTCAGTTGATGCCTGGAAGGCCCGTGGACGGCATGGGCTCAGTCGCAGGCTCCTGCACAGCTGTGGGCTCAGTGGGAGCATCCCATTGGCTGGGCACGGACGCCCGGATGTGTGACGCGAGCATCTCAGTGGCCGAGCACGGACTTCCGGATGTGTGACGCGAGCATCTCAGTGGTCGAGCACGGACTCCCGGATGTGTGACGCGAGCATCTCAGTGGTCGAGCACGGACTCCCGGATGTGCGACGCGAGCATCTCATTGATCGAGCACGGACTCCCGGATAAGCTTGCCCGTTGCGATCAGAGGTGGTGAGTCGGTGCGCAGCGAACGGACAAGCATGCGTGAATGCGAAAGCCGTTGGTTACGTGCGGTCACGCAACCCCCGCTCCTCCATCCACTTGTGTCATGTGAGGGCGCTAGCCTTAAGACGCGTACAGTAATCGAGACCCACCTCCAGTGACTGTCAAGTCCAGCCGGCGCCTCCGGACGCCTGCCTTCGGTGGCCACGGCGGTGTGCCGAAGCGTGCCGCGTCGAGTGGGCCGTGCGGTGAACCCAGCCTGACGTGTCCCGACAGAGAACTACGACGGCCGGCACGGGCGTGACTGGGAGCTGGCCGTGCTCTCCTTCCTGCGCGAGTCGCTGGTGGCCGTCGACAACCAGGAGTGGGTCGACCAAGTGGGTAAGTGTCGGCGGCGCCGGGCGCCCGGTCGCTGCCGTGGCTCGGGGGGTAGTGGTGCGAATGTTAGCCGCTGTGTTGTGTTGATTGGCACCTTGCATCGGAGATTGGAGTCTAGCGAGCGTATCGTTTGTCTGTTGGCGCGCACACCGTGGAGCTTCGGTTGCACAGGAGCATGGACACGTCAGCGTGGCTGCCAGTTTCGCGCGTCAAGTTGTCGCGCGGGCTTCTGATTCGTCGTGGGGTCGTTCACGTTTGTTTGTCACCCTGCAACCTTGGCCAACTGCCCTGCGACACACGTGAGCTGGCGCCTGGTGTGAAGTCGTACCCAGCAATCCTCGGCACCCCGCGAGCCAGCGCGCTGATGACACTGGCAGGGTTCAGCGGCAGCGCGAGCTGCAAACGCTCAGCCCTCCGCGCCTTCCGTGGCCCGCTCCGGCCCGAAGACCAATGTGACGTCACGGCCCGCTGTGTTGGTGTCAGGGCCCGCCCTCACTATGCCAGTGGTGCCGGCCGGTAGGCACGCTGGGCCGGTACTCGCCGCTGCGCACGGCCGCCACATCGGCGCTGATGATCCGCCCCGCCCCTCCTCTGGCCACGCCCGTCCTGCCGCCGGCGCGCCGACAGATGGCGTCGGCCGATGCCGGTCAGTGGCCGGCCGCCACCGCCGTGCGGCGCAGTGGTCCGGTCACAGGCCCGGGCAGTCGCCGCGGGCCGCGGGCCGCCCCTGCCAGTCCCGCATGGGCCGCTCCGCGTCTGGCGCGGCGGGGTGTGGAGTGAGCCGGTGGCCGGGGCGTGCGCCACCTGGCGGGTACACTGCGCCGCACGGTGCCGGCCGGCCTCGGGTGTGACGGGCGCGCGGGGCGGCCGCTACCGGCCACCACCGGGGGCATGGCGACGGCGCGGCCGGCTCGTAGTTTGGGGTGTTGGCGGTTTTTGGGCTGGTGCTGGTCGATCGGGGTCGATGCGCGAGGTGCTGAACTAGTCGGGACCGGGCCAAGTGTTGTTTGTTGTCGGCGACGGGCACGCGCCGGGCGCGGCTCTGGCAGTTGCAGTGCGTGAGCGGAAGCTGGCCGGCCGACAGATAGCGGACGTCGACCGAGTGGCTAATGCTTGTCGCCGTGCGTGCTGCTTTGTGGGCTTGTATTTAGGGAGGCTCGCACTGCTAAAATTGGCCCTTCGTAAGGTCGGTACGGCTTGAGTCGTCCTTTTCCGACTATTTGTGATTTGTCCAACAAATATGTTTATTCGCTTTAGCGTCTCTCATAAAACTATCGTTCGGCACAATAGAAAGCATGTTCGCGTTGAAAGATAATGTAGTTCGCGTCGCATGAAGCTCTGGGTTCTACAAGAGCTGCTTGCTGCTGATGGGGTGGTCCTTGTTTTATGTTTGATGATGTACCTATATTTATAAGGTTTTTTGGTCATTGCCGACATTCTGAATACCTGTGATTAGCTTTATTCTCACCAGGCAGGCGGCATGCGCCATATGGCCGTCAGTCATCGCTTCCCAAGAGTCCGGTCATCATCTGGCAATGCTTAGGTTTGCGCGCCACTGGTGCGCTCGCTTGACGCTGTTCTCGTCTCGTGTCTTCAGGGGCTGTGCTCGTGACTGCATGCTGTAAGCCTGCCTTCCTCGGGTACCACCCGTACCATTTCGTTGTCACTCAGGCGCTTATAATTTACCAGTCTTGTGACAGTCGCGCTACGTCTGTCTGGCATATGTGTACGGTGTTCACATCGTGCGTCATGCGTCACGTGCCCGCATGTCCTCCCAGCCAGTGGCCAGCCCCGGCCAGGGCTGACACCAGACGTCCGGCGCCCCTTCTGGTGCCCTGCTGAGCCGGCGGCGTGTGTCGACAGGCGCTGCCATGGCCGGCCACCTGAACTCTCCGCTGTATGTCGACCGACCGCGCGAGCGGGCCTTCCTCATGCGCTGCATGGCCGCGAGCGTATGCCGCCAGCAGCATAAGAAGCTGGTGTGCGCCCACATCGACGCCATTTTCGCCGCGGTCCGGCATACGGAGCCGTGTGAGAGACAGGTGAGCCGATGGGCTCCAGACGGCCGTGTGAGAGACGGGTGAGCCGATGGACTCTAGACGGCCGTGTGAGAGGCAGGTGAGCAGATGGGCTCCAGACGGCCGTGATAGGGGTTAGTCGAACCGATGCGCTGCAGACAGCCAAATGCACAGCGCTGGGGCTGTCATTCCGACAGTATCCGACATCTGCACCTTTATTGGTATCTGTCTATTATCCCTTGTGTGCGACGGCAGTCCGAGTTTAGCCTGTTACGTGATAATGCACCACCAGTTGACAAACCGTGTGACCTCAGCGGTGTGTTCGCGCGTTCTTTTTTCTCCCGGATCGTGCTCGATGGTAATGAAAGCGGAGCACTACGCTGCAGTGGGCATAACTACGCTCAGTGTGCTGGTTCTCCCCCCTGCTCTTCACGGCCGACACCAATCTGTGACGGGTGGCTCTCGGCCTGCCCAGGCGCCGGACGTGGCTGACATTGACACTGGCGGGCGTGGCGCTGGTGGACCTACACTCGCAGCGGGTGTGGTGTGACACTGGCGGGCGTGGCGCTGATGGACATACACTCGGAGCGGGTGTGGTGTGACACTGGCGGGCGTGGCGCTGGTGGACACGTACACTCTGTGGCGTGACGCAGACGTCTCCGCCGGCAGGGGTGCGCGCTGGCGCTTGGCCTGGTCTCGTCCGTGCACCTGGACCCTGTGCTGGCCAAACTGGACCAGGTGGCGCGCGCCGAGCTCACCAAGAAGCCCACCGGCCTGCTGGGCCTGATGAAGGACACCAAGGTGCCGACCAGGCGGCTGGCCCAGCGTGGGGTGTCAAAATACATTGTCGACACCTCTCACCTGCCCCTGCCTTCGCCTAACAGTCAGCGCTTGAAATGACAAAATTTCGTGGAGGTGATGTCTGATGCTGCTGCTTGTCTTTTGTATCTGAGGTCTTGTACGTTTTTGGATTATCTAACGATCTTAGCCGAAAGCGTTCAAAAGTTTACTTCAAAAACCATTTGGGTGGTCCTCAGAGCCTATTGTCACCATGATCCGACACTGCTGCGAGGAAGCCCTTTTGGCCACCAGCGTGTGCTGCCCGCGTGCCGCAGCGCACCACCAGGAGGCAGGAGCGCTGTGTGCCCTGACAGGCGTGTACCGTGCAACCGCAGGGCGAGGCGGCCCAGGAGCGGATGCGGGCCACAGTGATCCTGTGCTACGGCCAGGTGGCCATGATGGCGCCACAGCACCTGCTGCTGGAGCGGTTCGAGGTGCCCGTGTTCCGCGACCTGCAGACCTTCCTGCCTACATGCAAGGTGAGGCCTGCCGGCAGGCTCGCAGGGAGGCCGCAGTCCGGTAGAATGGCCAGCCACTGATTCGGGCCAGGTAGGTAGTGTTACTCCCGGCACTCAGACACTGGGAAACCAGGGCGTCGGGTACCCGCAGGCGAAGTGTAGTGGTTCGTAGATGTGCGCGGTTATTGTCAGTATGTCAAGCATGTCATCTGATCTGGACTTCACTTTCGGTGTTCCGGTGTTCCCACCGTCTGATCTTTGTGTCACCGGTAACGCGGTATGTGGTGGTCGTCCGTCATTAAAGGTGTGTGCAGAGTTGTCGCTACTCCCCCGTCTTCCCCTCCTTTGCCAGCAGATAACCGATGCGTGGCTCCAGCTAGACCCGCCCTCGCCTGATATCGGTCCCCCTCAGTATTGTATCGGCACTTGAAGCCGCATTGTCGTCCCTTCCACGGCCACATCACACTGCGGGCGTAGCTCGGGCCTCGCGTACGGCCGAGGCACCTCCTCCGCTGCCTCGTTCCGGTATCGCCGGCGCCCGTGCCGCGCGCGGCCTGGCGCGGTCGGCGCCCCGTGACACCCTGACGCGGTGCCGCAGACGGCCGAGGTGCGCCGAGCTCTGGTGGAGACGTCCGGCGAGCTGGCCCGGGCCCTGCACCCGGACCGGCTCAAGGAGCGCTACCGGTTCCGCGGCCGCGACCAGCTGCTGCAGTTCACGCTGTCGGCGCTGCGCGTGGAGCACGAGCTGGACGTGGTGCACCTGATCCTGGCCACGGCCACAGCGCTCGTGTGAGTGGCGTGCCCGCCGCCGGCCGCGGGCGACTCCCGAATGCGGCAGGCCCGTGGGAGGACGTAACGTTCGACGCGGCTGGCGTCTCAGCTGGTTCTCGTGTATTGTCGGCCGCGGGTGGCCGCTCCGCCTGGTGGAGTCTGTGGAACACCCCGCCATTGTCTCTCCGCAGGTTTGCTTCCATTTGCCGCACTTTCAGTGAGGGCAGAACTTCGGAGAGGTGCATGGGGAAACTACACACACCATCAGCATTATAAGTGTTGCCGTCTAGACGTCAGGCAGCCCCTGTGCGCCAGGTGGCCTTGGGCGTGATGTGGCTGTGTTGTGATTGGTCGAGGGTCGGTCGGTGACCCTGGCTGTGGGGCCGTGGGCTGCGTGCGCTCACCGGACGCCGGGCGTGCCGACAGGTCGCTGGAGCCGGCGCTCTCCACCGAGGACCGCACGCGCATGCTGCAGACGGTGTTCGAGGCGGTGTACCCGGTGCGGCGTGAGCTGCCGCAGGACCACCAGTCCACCGTCCAGTACCAGATCCACAGGAAGGTGAGCCCAGCACCGTCGCTTGTTGCGATTTATCCTTCGCGTCGGGCCGGCGCTCTGTACACCGGATCATCCCGGATGTCAGCAAGGTGACACCTGCGTTATGCTGCCGGCGTTGACTCGTCAGTTCGTCCACGAAGCGCGATAGTTATAGGCTCACGTGACAAGTAGTTCTCGTGTCTTGAATCTACAGCTACCGGAATGTCAATAGTTTCTGCTAAAGCCCAGAACTTTTTTCTGAAGTATTCTGGTCAGTGAAAGATGGGCACTTTTACAAGAGAATGTTCGGTGCGCATTGCGTTCATTTTCGCAGCACTAAACCCCGTTAATGATGTTAAGATGATAGTTGATGTTAAGCTTTACTACAGAATGGTGTGGGGACGGCAAACTAGTCTCTGACCTGTGACCCCTCGGAGGCAGCAGGGAGCGCGCCTCAGGGCCTTGAGGCCGGCGGTGGTCGCCAGTAGTATGGGCTGCACGGACCGCTGCCGCCCGCCGGGTGACGTCTCGCCGCCCCGTCCCGCCAGATCGTCTCCGAGCTGGACCGGCTGGTCTGCACGCTGCTGCTGCGAGACGTCACGCCGGCCGTGCTGGACGACCTGGTGACGTCACTGGTGCCCTGGGTGACGTCACAGGCGGCGCACGAGCGGGCCCACAGCATGTCGACGCTGGGCATGGTGCTGCAGGCATACCTGGACAACGTCCAAGTTGGCGAGGGTGTAAGTGGTGCTACGGAGCTCGTGGCGACCCGAGCCCAGCCGGTCATCGGTCCTGACTCCGTGGTGATTTGTGTTTGCAGCGCATGACTGGTTGTTTTTTCCCACGAGTGCGAACCGGAACGGCGGTGAGCGGGTGCCGCTGCGGCGCTTCTCCCCGCCCGGTCCGCCCTGATGCCGTGCTGCGGCGCCGCGTCTCCCCGCCCGCTCCGCCCCGTGCCGTGCCGTGCCCTTCGTCCTCATGCCGTGCTGCGGCGCCGCGTCCCCCCGCCCGCTCCGCCCCGTGCCGTGCCGTGACCTCCGCCCTGATGCCGTGCTGCTGCGGTGCGTCTCCCCGCCCGCTCCGCACTTATGCTGTGCCGTGCCGCTCCGCCCTGATGCTGTGCCGTGCCGTTCCGCCCTGATGCCGTGCCGTTCCGCCCTGATGCCGTGCCGTGCCGTTCCGCCCTGATGCCGTGCCGCTCCGTCCTGATGCTGTGCCGCTCCGCCCTGATGCCGTGCCGTGCCCTCCGCCCTGATGCTGTGCCGTGCCGTTCCGCCCTGATGCCGTGCCGTTCCGTCCTGATGTCATGCCGTTCCGTCCTGATGCCGTGCCGTGCCGCTCCGCCCTGATGCCGTGCCGTGCCGTGCCGTGCCGGCAGAATCCGGTCAGCTTCTGCGTGGGTGGCCAGCTGCTGGCCACGCTGGTGCCGCGATGTGTGGACCCAGAGCTCACCATTCGGCCCATTGCCGTCGATGCTGTCCACACCGTGCTTAAGTGAGGCTTGACACCATCTATCGGGGTGGGTAGCCCCTGAGGAGGAGCAGTGGGAAGCGGTGACGGTCTGGAGTGTACGGTGTTGTTGGCGCTCCTATGGAGTTGTATGGAAGCGTTCAGCGCGCCTTACGTTCGGGTCGTGTGGTCCGGCAGTCCAGCCAACATCCACCAGCCATCATTACGGATGGGCTGTCATTAAGGTCGAGATTAGGGAGATTAACTTTCTAAAGCAGAGAAAAATATGGGCGGGCTTTGAACGTATCAGCCAGATGTACTGCCCGTTTGTTGACTGTCGTGCCTCCCTGCGCACGGGAAGAATCGTGTCGCGGTACGAGGGCAACCAGTGGGACATGGAGGCGATGAAGGAGCTGCGGGAGAGGCTGCTGAACGCCGAGGAGAGCAACCTCAAGCAGGACATGGCCACGCTGTCGCAGGTATGGTGCGGCCGGCGGCCGGTGCTCCGGTATACAGCCGGACCAGCGCCGTGGGCTGTCGACCCACGGCCGGCGGGCGCATGGAGGGATGGACTGGTAGCTGCTTAGCTGACTCGCGGGGCGGGAGTATTGTATCATCCTGATAGTATGAGTCCAAATGGTTTTTGTCTGAAGAATGGCCGCATTCATTTACCATGCGAGTTGTGTGTATGTCTACCTGGTCTACCGGAGTAAATATGCTGCTCGATGCGTCATGCATTGATTACGTCATCGTGCACTGCATAACATTGATTGAGAGCCAGTGACCGGCCGCTGTGTCTGGAAATCGTGCGTCCGAACGCCAAATGTGAACGCCTCGACAGTTAGGTTTTTCTCGACCTTGATCGCCGTATGGCTTATGGAACGGCAGGATTGGAATGACGTCATTATGACTGAGTGACATCATGAATGGCGATGTGAGTTTGAAATGCTCTCCCCGATCTACCTTTCCCAATGTTGGCGGGCGTCTAGCCCAGAAACTAGGGAGGCTTAGGTTTCGAGAGGGGCAGGATTGTGAACATCACCGAAATGTCTTCAAAATGTCTGTTTCAGTTAAAAACGCCATGTGAATGTGGAGCACTTCCTTTGATACATGTGGAGTCAGATGGTTTCTGGGAACTTTCGTGCGACTGTTGACCGGCATCTTGCACACGCAGCCTGACACCTGACGTCTGACCTGAGCTTACTTAACCTGACCTTATCGGACCGGACCGGATCAGACTGGACTGGACCGGTCCTGGCTGGACTTGACGTGGCCTGACCTGACCACACGCGGTCACCGACAGATCCTGAGCGAGAAGGTCAGCTCGAGCCAGCTGCGGCCGTTCTTCGAGACGCTGCTGCCGGGCCTGGTGGACCGGCACGCCACCAGCTCGCTCGGCGCCGCCGTCGCCACCACCGTCCTGCTGCGCATGCGCGGCGCCGAGTTTTACCAGCACGTGCCGGAGGTGCTCCGTGAGTGATGCCCCCGGCCTGCGGACCGGGCCGTCCGATCCGCCGCGTGTGCGGCGCCAGACTCGGTCTGTTGCAACCGCATGTCCGGATCCACTGTCGGCGCGCTGCAGTTGCTGCATCGGTGATAACGCGGGTGGCAGGGAATGACCAGTCGTTCGCGCGCGTGTGGCTGGTATGCCCAGTGTATCCGACGCTGGTAAATGCGTGGCATTGACCGCTGCGCACGGACCACGCTCGGCGGCCGGGCGTCTGCGTTCGGCCAGTCGTCGGTGTTGCTGACGCCCCGGTGTTGCTGACGCCCCGGTGTTGGCGCGCCGTTCCGCAGACGGCTTGCACACCAAGCTGGCGGAGATTTCGCACTCCGAGACGCGCCAGGAGACCCTGTGCGCCGTGCAGACGCTCTCGTCGCACCACATCGTGGCCGTGACGTCGGCACTGCTCGCCTACCCGCTGCCTTACGACGAGTCAGTGGGTCGAGGCGGGCGCGTGGCGGGGTGCTAATAGACATCCAGTGTGGACGGAGTTGACACGAACCGTGAGGGGTTCTCAAATCGCAAGGAAGGCGGGCATGCTGCGCCGCATGACTTCGCCCCCATTGCCCATTTTGAGAACATGACTTCAACGCAGTGCTCGTATACGCGCGTTTAAATGCTTCCAGCCTCAACCTTTCGCGGGAAATCGTTGCAGTTATTTTCCCCAGTAATATTTTTCCGCGGGTTTGTCGTAGGATTTTGATGTCACGTGACCAGTTGTGATTTAACATGTTTCATTGCTCAGTTTTTGGTCGTCACGGCACCTCATCATGCCGCACTTGAGACAGTATCAGCGCTCGGGGTTCGCAAATCACGGAAACCTTGCCGCGTGCGATGCTTTGCAAATTTCTGTGGGCGCAGGTAGCCCGGGCTTCCAAATTTGTGATGAATTCCAAATCTCCATAACCCGGTGCCATCTGCATCGGTGCCTCTCGTTCTGCGGTGGCTGACCTGAGCGTCTGACCGTCCGTGACCCGCCGTGTGACGCTCGTTCCGCTCCGCGCTCCAGTCACGTGGTGGACTGCTGGCGCGTGATAGGCCGCGACCCGCGCCTCTCGAGCAACATCCTGCAGCAGTTCATGGAGCTGGTCAGCTCGTCGGCGCCGTACGAGGAGCAGCGTGACCCGGGCCGCGACCAGCCCGTGCGCATCGCCATGCTGCAGCCGCTATGTGTGAGTGACCGCCCGGCCAGGCTGGTGGGACCGTTTGGCGCTCGCGCCGCTGGCCGCCGCGTTGTGGGCTCGCTTCAGGTGGTGTTCGAAGCACCGTTCGGGTGGCCGGCGGAATGTGATGCGCTCCGGTGCAGGGTGGGGTCGATTCGACTCCATGAAATTTCAGAAAGTAAGGGAGCTAGATACGTCAAGTTGCCAGTGTAGGCAGGACTCGTATGTGAATTCGTGTGTGTGAAATGGTTTAACTTCTAGCTGGTAGCCTACGGGTCAACTAAGTTCGAACAGGCTCAAATTACAACAAGTCCTAATTGCCTTCAGACCTCACACAATCAGCCTACATACTGATACTTTTTAGCAAAAAAGATACTTAAAGTCGGTGGCATTATTCAACCTTCCAGAAAGAAAAAAATATTCAAAAATGATGTCGGCACTTTGATGTTCGATTTTAAAATTTGCGTTGAAAAGCACCGCAGATGGCAAGTTCTTCAACGTAGCATACTTATTAGTCATATTAGGTCAGTAACCTCGCGTGACCGTCCTAAAGTGAAGAAGAGATCTGTTGTCTCTGTAATCATGGAATAGAAATGAGCGTTAATCATTAACCCGTGAAACAATCTCCAGTCAAAACCTGTTTGGCTTTGGCCTTAATCTGGCCTTGATAATTGTCCCTGGTTTGGCCGTGGCCTGACCGTTATAACTTCGCAAGATCAATGGAATTAGTTGTTTTCCTAATAGCATGTGTGAGTTTTATAGTTGGCTAAGAAACCATCGCAAACTTGTATGACTTCGTCCAAAACTCTTGTTAAGTGAGCCTGAAAACTGTCATAATGATTGCCTTTGCTGGCAACTGAAGCCTGGTTTTTAGCCGGCGGGTGCTAGTGACGTCGAAATAATATCTTGTGCCTCTCAATGCCAACAATACAGTTGTCTGCAGCTACACAAAGTGGCGCTGCTATTTTACACCTTTTGGGAGTTTTTGTCACTAAAAGGTGTCGAATTGACCCCAGCGTATCGTGTGTTAGCCTCCGCCCTTGCTTCCGTTTTGTTTTCGTCGGTGTGGGCCTCTCACTGTTGCGGTGATGTGTTTTGCCTCACGCTTTTCCGGTGTGGTCTTTTGGCATGCCGTTTTTCGGAGCCTGTCTTCCCTTCTGTGACTTGCTTTGCTACTCAGCCCAACCCTCTGTCTTTCTTGGCCGGTTTCGGCTGGTCCGCGCCTCTGTCGCCGCCTCTCTCCGTGTGTTCCTGTGCGCAGCGTCCGGCCTTGTGGCTGCCGCTGCTGGCTGCCGCGCTGCTGCTCGGCGGGCCGGCGCTGGCCGCCCTGCTGAGCACCGTGCTCTACCCAGCGCTGCTGACGCTGGCCGCGCTCGGCTCGCCCAGCCGGCGGCCGGCGCGCCGCTGGCTTACTTACTGGTGCGTGCACGCGCTGCTGGCCGTGCCGGGGGACGGCTGGGCAGCGGTGCCGGCCTGGTGCCGGCTGGTGCGCGTCGCCCTGCTGCTCTGGCTGGCGGCGCCGGCACGGCTGGGCGGTGGCTGGCGACTCGTGTACGGCCGCGTCTTCCGGCCGGCCCTGCTGCGCCGCCACTCGCTTCAAGACGAGGCCACGTGGCGACTGCGCGAGCTACTAGACGTGGCGACCGAGAAGTCGGCGCAGCTGACGGTGGAGGACTTGGTGGCGCAGCTGGAGGCGGTGCCTAGCCGGCCGGCGGCGTCGCCCGAGTCGGACGACTTGGACTCTGACTCTGAGTTTTCCGAGGCCGAGCTGGAGCGGGCGCTGCAGGAGGCCAGCGGCGGGCAGGTCAGCGGCGAGGTGTTCGCCGACGAGGAGCCGCCGCCAGCGTCACCCGCCGCGCTGCCGCTGCTCGCGACGGAGACGGCGACGGAGCCGGTGGTGCGGCGCCGGCCGCCGACGGGACGGCCGCCGCTGCCGACGGCGGCACCGCCGCTCGGCCGGCCGCAGTCGGAGCTGGCGGTGCCGCAGGAGTCGCCGCGCCGCCGCAGCTCGTCCTGGTTCGGCCGCATAGTGGGCGAGCCGGCGGCCGGCCGACCGCCGCCCCGCCGCAACCGGTCCATGTCCAACAGACGCGATTAGCCCGCATTGAGGTGCACAGTCCCCGCGCGTCATCCACACCGCGCCGACCCGAGGGCCACCGGCTCGGCTGCGGATTGGCTGGGGATGGGGAAGGTCCCCATCAGAAGCGACGGCGGCTGCCCGCTGCCGCCACGCGACGAGGCTGCCCAGCTCGGACGCCTGTTGTGTGGTCTGCTGCTGCCAGGCCGCCGCTGATGTGGCCTTGACTCACACGGACCAGTCTGCAGGTCGGCGGCTGGCCAACGGGTGACAGTGAGCTTTGGACTCGGGCTGACGCTTCCAGTGCATGGCTCCCACTTCCTCGGTCGGCGCTGGAACAAACGCGACGGCCAAGTTCACAACAGGCTGGTGTCTGCGAATGCGGGCACCTTCTTTAATATTATCTTTGCTAGTTACCGCAAAGGCGGGAATAAATACTGTTCACGTACGTGTGTGTGTGTTGTCTTCTCAACAAATCCAACAAACGATTCGCAGGCTATGGATGTATACATTCTTGCGAACGAGAAATGTGAATGATTGATTCGTGTGGATTCCCGTTGCCGTTTTCATATTGCGGAGTTGAAGACTAGTTTCTTCTAAGCGTGCTGTTTTGCTGGCGCATCACAGCATCAGTGGTGTGGGGCTAGCGGAGCAGCTGCACTGGCGCCAGAACGCGGCCCGGCTTGTACCGGCGCCAGAGCCGGGTGTCGGCGTGACAGGCGACCCGGCGCCGGCCGCGCGCGTCTGTGGTCGCGCGTGGGATGTAAACAGGCGCGCGCGCCGCCGCCGCCACGGGTTGCGGACCGGAACTTAGTAAACACTCCGCTGCAGAGAGCCGCGTCGCTGGCCGCCGGCGGCGGGATCGCGCGGCGGTGCCCCCGGCGCTATCTGGCGGGCGCGGCCCTAAGCTGAGTGTCGGCGGTCGTCTCGGGGCTACCGCCGTCGAGGCGGTCCGCGGGGCACTCGTGAAGTACGTCTTTTGACGCTGGTTCGTTTGCTGCTGCTGCGACGTCCGTGTGTGCCTTCATTTCTGTATATGCGTGATATTGTGGTTATATTCACCTTATTTACTTGTTTGGTCACCTGGAGCCCGCCAGTATTCGCGACATCCGCTGTTGGTCGGGTTCCTCTGGTCATGCTACTTTATGCCTGCTCAGTCCACGTGGCGATGTGTCAATGGCATGACCGCAGTGCAGACCGCGCATCGTGGCGTGAGGCTAGGACCTGCCTTTGCATAAGCTCTCCCGGCAGCGTTTGGAGCCGGCCCGGCCGCTCCTGACCCCGCCGGAGCCCACTGGCCGGGGCCGTCTTGCTGCGGGGTGGCGCGGCGCGGTGCCCGGCGCAGCCGCCGTCCCCGCGGCCCGGCCGGCCCGACTGGGAGCTGACTGCCGCCGGTCTGTCGCCCGGCAGGCTATCAGTGCCATGACGGAGATGTTCGCGCTGCCGGAGGTCGCCGAGTCGTGTGCGCCCGACGTACCGCAGCTGCTGGCGCGTCTGCTGTTGGCGCAGGCCGCTTACGTCGGCGTCTTCCCGCCCGTCTCCGGGGCCGCCGTCAAAAACCAGCCGGCCCACTCGTTCGTGCCCAACCGCGGTGCCTACAAGCTGAGCCCCTTCAGGTTCGTCGGCACTGCCGCTGACGTCACGCACGGCCGCTGACGTCATGCACGGCCGCTGACGTCATGTACGGCCGCTGACATCATGCACGGCCGCTGACGTCATGCGCGGCCGCTGACGTCATGCACGGCCGCTGACGTCATGCGCGGCCGCTGACGTCATGCACGGCCGCTGACCTCACGAACTTGAGGCCCTGATATCATTGAGGGAAGTCGGCGATGTTAAAGATTTCAGCTGCTAGCTCGGGTCGTACGTGCGCATGATGCTCTGAGATTGTAAAAGCGTTGACACGAGGATGTTACACTTGTTTCAGTATATCTGTCGAATCAGCGTCAACTAACGCCCAACGTAGCCAGTTGTGTTCACCACAGACCAGCTTGACCCCTGATAACGAATCCGTGACCTGAGGTCGTATTTTGATGGCGTTGTGTCCATTTCCACGACGGTGCTGTCCAACATGCAGAAGATGCACATCTTGCACTTGACCATTTGTGGCGTATTGCCGTCTTAATCGGCGAATTGTCAAGAGGATTGCAGGGGTACCTCGACTGCGGGTTGCGCCGAATCCTTTGGAGGCATGCCTGACACGGCACCGAGCTTTGGTAACTACCAGTGATTTTGCAGGTTTGTATGGTTGCAGATTCACTTGTTGACCACCTCCCCTTCCTAGAAAATGCAAAATGCATGTTGTCCCAATCCGCGGGGTGTACGTTCTTGCCCATCAATGTTTTTTCGTGTGCCCGCTAGGATCGCTAGTGAGGCGCTACTGGCTTTCCTGCGCTGCGTGCAGCTGAATGAGCTCGCCGAAGTGATGACGTCACGCACAGAGCCGCTGGAGGACCTCGGCCGCTATTCAGAATTCGTTATTGCCATGTCAAGGCAGGTGTATTTCACGATATCATTCGAATGTGGTTTTATCTCTCATACTGTGTCAAGCCCATCTAATAATGCAGATATAACATAATTTGCATCAGTTGAATATAACATAATTTGCATCAGCATCTGTCATTACGTGTTACGGTGTGCTAAGGCAGGATATAACGCTTATGATAATAGCACACCCGAATGTGCATCCAAGACTCTCGAATTTTGTCTTGGAGATGTAACCGAAGTAACTGATTGTTTGGTGTGGCCTTGTCGTGGACCATCGGACAGTCGGCCCTGGTCTGAGCGACTGTTTGGTGTGGCCTTGTGGTGGACCATCGGACAGTCGGCCCCGGTCTGAGCACAGACTGTGGTCTGAAGCCCTGCGACTCTGGCCGGCCGCTGTTCGCCGCCCCCCTGCCCTGTTCGACTGCTGACCGTCCGCTCCCGTCCGCTGTAGCACGGTGGTGACTCAAAGTCCGCACTTGATGGCGCCTCTGGTCAGATGTCTGGCTTCCGACCTCTCCAGCATGTACGAGGCCCAGAGGATCGCCGCCGTCGCCTTCTACGGAGAGGTGAGCCGCCCGTGGTCCCGCTGAACTCGCGCTGCTCAGGGAAAGGCACGAGGCGGCCTGCACTCTGGCTCTGCCCAGTCGGCTGTGCTGCTGACGGTCCGTCTGCGATGTGCTGTCAGTCTTTCGCCGCCACATGTGAACGGGCGGCTCTGGTGATGGACATGCGGCGCAGGTCGGGTGGCGGCGCACGGCGTCGGTCGCTGCTGGGAGCGCGCCGCTGTGCGTGTCGACGGCTGACCGGTGCCGACGTTCCGCAGCTGGTGCGGCACCGGTGCGCCGGCAGCGTGCCGCTGATCGAGACGCTGCTCAACAGCCTTGTGTCGCGTCTGATCGACTCGTCGCCGGTGGTGCGCCGACTTTGTCTGCTGGGGCTCGGCCACATCAGCTGCCTGGGACACCCGGGGGTGAGTACAGGGCTCACATCAGCTGCCTGGGACATCCGGGGGTGAGTGCAGGGACCACATCAGCTGTTTGAGACACCCGGGGATGAGTGCAGGGGCCACATCAGCTGCCTGTGACGCCCGGGGGTGAGTACAGGTGCCACATCAGCTGCTTGGGACACCCGGGGGTGAGTACAGGGGTCTATTCAGCCGCCTGGGACACGGGGGTGTACGGTAAGATCTCCCGGTAGCAGATCTTATCGTATGCCTGCCGTGTCCTCCCTCTAACATCAGCAGGACGGTACCCGACCAGCTCCTCTTGCTCAGCACATTTTTGTGACAAAAGACGATCTTTTGAAGTGGCTATTGCTGCGACCAGCTGAGGGCGACGCCGCTTGCATGGCTTGCATGACCTCTCCGGCACTCGTCAGGGCCGTGGACACACTAACGCCGCCGACCCGGTGGATGGATGAACTGTGGTCCGTCTCAGTGTCTTGTGCCGTTCGCCCCCCCCCCCCCCTTCCTGTCGCTCTCCGGTGGTATTGGGGGGACGGGGGGCACTTATGTGACGCTTGTGTTGCACGTATGTGACGCTCTGCTCTGTGTGCTTGCGTGATATCCTGCTGTTGTGCGCGCTTGTGAGGCGCTCTTCTGGGCGCTGACGGCTTGCGTTCTTTTCAGGGCTTCGGTGTGGATTACACGCAGCTGGTGAGTGTGCGCTCGCCGCAGAGAGACCCTCTGTGCTCCGCATTTTCCCGACAAGCCCTGTCCGTGATCACGCGACGCCGAGGTACCCATAACAGTCCTTTCAACACACTTCTTGCAACGAGTTTTATATGCTGCACATTGCAGCGTTGAGTGGCTACGCAAAGTGGCCACAACATTGAAAAGCATTTGTGGTTCGGTGGTAAAGCCATGATGATGGCAGCCCGTGCGGTAAAGCCATGGTGATGGCAGTCCGTGCTCTGCCGTGGTCATCGGAATGAGAGAGCGTTCGGACCAGCGCCCACTGCCGACAAAATACCAGCACGTCGGCGACGGCGAACGGCGCGGTGGTGTGAGGCACGAGAACCAGGGTGGAAGGACTCCAGTTCGCGGAAGCCGGGAAGTGGGCAACCAAGTGCGAAAGTTGGGCGGGGGTCCCAAACGGCGAGCGACGTGTGCACGGCGTGCGCAATGGAAACTAGGCCGAGACATTGAGGAGACCAGTTTCATTAAGCAAATGTCATCTAGTTAAAGAGTAGTGAATCATTGGAATGGGTCGACAAACGAAGTAGTAGGGAGTCCCTCTCTAGCAACATTAAAACACAATTGGACAAATTCTATCAGTCTAAAGATCTCATTTATAGCTAAATTCATGCTGGTCGGGTGGTAAGATTAGATGCTGGTCAGGTGGTAAGATTAGTTTCGAGGATGTGCACGGAACCTGAGCTAGGTCAACCTCGGTGGGCCCTTGTGGCTCTGTTGGCGAAATGCATATGTCTTTATGTATTGCGGTACGACACGTGTACTTCTTGCAGATTAAAAACGTCATGACTTTTGCGCTGATTGAACACACTGCCTGATCTTCGGAGTGCTTGTGTTCACTAGTCTTACGATAATGTGCTGCTTCATCGACTTAGGTTTCCTCACGGTCTCCAATGCTTGAAATCGGAGATGTATTTTATCAATGCTTCCAGTTGTGTATGTTCTACGCTGCATCTCGTTAAGTGCTTCTCGATGAAAAACTATCGGTATTGATGTCTATAATTTGAAAGATGTGAAAAGTGTGTTTTCGGTGTTTGGGACGATTTGAATGTGAAATTTCTAAGATGGTTTTGCCGGAAATGGTCAAACTAAGCATTTTTCGAAAGTCATCGGATGAACTTAAGATGCTGCCATCGGTCGTTATAAAATATCTGTTTCTTGTCGATGAATGTCGAAAGTAATGGTGAGTGAAAGAAACAAACCGGATATGAAGTAGGAAAGGGAAAAACGAATTTAAAAAATTGCTTGTCGTTAGGTAAGAAAGCTTATGTCGTGGTTTGGTCGAAGTTAGATTTCCACCGGATCAGAAAAATGGTGCATTTTATAAAAGCTATTGGAAAATATTACACTGCGGTCTGAAGCGGGGTTCGCGATGACACTTTCACGAGAAAACCCATTGTTTTGTCCAATCATTTTCAGGGCAAATTTCATTGTTTCGAACGTAGTAACTGAGAATGGGCTTCAAAACGGTAGGTGCTTGGTGCGCTTCTCTATGTTTGTATCATCGATTTTGCGACATCACGAAGCATGCAGCGCAACCTTTATAGGAAAGCGCCACGCAAAAGCGTGCGAATCTCGCCTGAGCGGCTGGGGCATCCTCCGGGTCCGTGAGCGGCGCGTCATGTCCGCTGCGGGGTGTGTGCCAGGTGGACCTGCCGTGCGTGCGTGTGGACGTGCGGACGTGTCGTGCGTGCGGGTGGACCATAAGCGTGCGAATCTCACCTGAGCGGCTGGGGCATCCTCCGGGTCCGTGAGCGGCGCGTCATGTCCGCTGCGTGGTGCGTGCCAGGTGGACCTGTTCGCGCAGCAAGTGATGTCGGCCATGCTGGGCGGCCTGGACGACCGCGAGGACGTGGGCGGCAGCATCCCACTGCAGGCGATGACGGCCCTGGCCGGCGTGCTGCGCGTCGTCTCGGAGCAGCAGGTCCAGCACACGCTCATCCCCATCACCATACGGATACGGGTCTACTTCGAAAGTGTGAGTCACCACACCGGGCACGGTGGGGGCAGGGGGGGGGGGGGATAGCGGGGATGGACACTCCGAGGGTTCACCCGAGAGTGGGCTGGCGCTCCTGGCGCGAGGAGGAAGGAGGTGGCGTAACCGGGATCTACGTGGTGGTTTAGGCAGTGTGCTAGGCACGAAGCAGCGGCTCACTGGGCCTTTGTTAACTTACGGTCTCTGCCAACGGGGCACGGAGATGCGAGAGTGGTTTGCTGATGGGTGTGGCCATGGGCATCGGAATAGCCGGTCAGCAGCTTTTCCGATGCTGACCGTTGAGTAGGACGTACTGTGGCATTGACGGATTGGTCGGCATTATTATCACGTCTGTGATAGCGTCGTTCGTGATTTGGCTCTGGTTGTGGCGTCGGCTCTGACGCCACCGTAACGTCTCTGTCCACGTCTCGACGTCAGTGGAACCACGCCGCGACCTGACCGCCCGCCAGGCTCACGCTGTCGCTGGATTAGTTCTTGCGTTGTCCGCAGGAGTCGTTGGCGCTGCGATCGACGTCGTTTGGCCTGTTCGGCGCCTGCTCAGCCTTCTGCCAGGGCCCACTGCGCGACCAGTACATGGAGCAGACGCACAACAACCTGATCTCGCTGCTGATCCACCTCAACGACCCCGAGCCGGACGTGGTGCTGGTGAGGCTAACAGCGAGACAGGCGGGCTCGTCGCCGACCAGGTGGACCGCGCGCCGTGCCACGCCCGGCTGGTGCTGGTGCTGGTGCTGGTCCCCAGCCGGTGGCCGTGTTTGTGGGGCGTTGCCTGGCGGGTGTCGTGATCGCGCTGCGGTCGGCATCCCCAAGCAGGCTGGCAGTTTGAGATTGGTTTCACCAAGTCTGCCGGATGTATTTCGATTATCGATATCGTCAATGCCTTAGATAGCTCATCAGCGCATTGAAGAAGCTCATAAGGGCATAAATGCGTTGACATATCCGTGAGACCACCATACCCCCCGCCATCCGATGTAACTGGGGGTCTGCCGTGGTCCGGATCTCGAGACTGACCCCTGGCGGGTTGGTGCAGGTTGTCGCCAGCAGAGCCCGCGTGGCGAGGCTGGGTGGTGCCTGTCGCCTCCCCTCAGCATATGCTGATCAGGCTTGTGCACCCGTTGTGGACGCGCCTATTTTTAGTGCTTAAAGGGGGTGTTCCGCATTTATGTGGAGGTTTGAACTGAAACAGCTATCATGAAGATCACTCGGTGCAGTTCACAGCCCTGCCCATCTAAAAACCTAAACACTTTTAGCTTCTGGGCTACACGCCCACGAATATGGGGAGAGTATTTCAAGGTCACCTTGGCACTCATGACGCCACGATAGCGTCATTGAAATCCTGTTATTGCATTAACTATGGAGCCATCAAGGCCAAAGACATGTATTTGTCGAGTCTTCATACCCACCGTTCAAGAGCACGATTTCCAAACATATTACGGCCGTCAATTGGCTCCCAATCACTGTTGTGCAAGGTGATGTAATCAAACAATGACGCATTGAGGAACATGTCCGCTAGACAGAGAAATTATGTCGTCTAGAGCAGTCTTTTTCACTTCAAGGTGTACCAAAAGTTATAACTGGGCTTGTTTCATCACATCTGTACTTGCTTCAATATCTTCTACTGTGAGACGTTCCCTTTGATTACAAATGTCATATGAGATGAGGCTTTTTTGTCTTAATTCACCATGAGCGGTCTCATTAGCCCGAAAGTTGCGTTAATGCAAGTCATTGGGGCAAAGAGAAGCATGTCAGTAAAAGCTTGTGTCATTTAATGAAACATGTGCTCCTCATGCCTGGAGTTCCTTTTCATGTTCATATCGCTTCTCACATTTTTTAGAAACTTCAACCCAACCCAACTCATCATTACATTTTGATAAATATATGTGTTGTGACAAAGATGTAGCATCTTGACAAGAAACAGAATGGGATCAATTCAATGTGCCACTATTGATTTCACATTCGTGCCGATTGGGTTACCCAACGCGCTAAGGCCTCTACCGCTTCAGGTCTATAATGCAGTCATATCACCCCGTCATGTGACCGGGGTTTGGGTGACGGCTGCTGCAGGCGTGCAAGACCAGTCTGCGGCAGGTGGGGCCGCTTCTCGAGGCGCGGGCAATCAATGCCATGTTCCAGAAGCACCTGATCGATGAGGGCAAACTGCAGTACGCCAACTTCGTCAGTGATCTCTCCAAACTGATGGTGCGTCCTCGGGCTCCTTCTCCGAGTCATTGGCATCTTAAACGTGTGATTTGTCATCGAAGCTGTGTATTTTGAGGTAGGCTGGTGAGTGAGAAACTTCTAAACGTATGCATTGTGTCAGCTTAGGTTCTCTTCGTCGTAAAAGGTGATAATTGTGGGGATGTGAATGGTTGATTAGCCGAAGACATCCCAGATTGAAGCCTGGCGGGCAGGTGCGACCCCCTGTCCTCTCTGCGGGCTTGTGCGCATGTGGGTGGCGCAGCCAGTGCCCCGCCGCCCTCACTCGCGCCGCCGTTGTCAGCGGCCAGTGTCGCCTCCGTGGCGGCGGTGGTGGTGGCGGCTGGTCTGATGGGGGTTGGTCGCGTCGGGCAGACGGTGACGTGCCCTGCCTCTCTACCTCCGCCCCCTCCCCTCCCCCGGCACGGCGCCGTGACGCCGGCGCTGGCCTGTCATCCTTAGGTGCAGGAGCTGGAGCCCAAGCTGCACATGTACATTATGAGTCTGCTGGCGCACTTCCGGTCTGGATGGACGGAGCTGAAGGGCACTGCGGCGCTGTTGGTCGGTGAGTGGACGACCTGACCGCAGGATACCCGCGGCCTGTCTCTGATCGGCGGTCTCGAGGTGCGGACTGACGGCGGCACAGCACTCACCCGCTGCTGAGTGCTGAGCAGAATCGGCAATCACCAGTGTTTGCTAGGGGGGGGGGGGCTGCTGTCACAGCGGCGGGTTGGCATCGCGTTTTGGTATAATGAGAGTTACTTGAAGACATCGAGCAACGATTTTTTTGCATGTAATGAATGGAATGTCACTGGTTTAGGCCTGAGGAAGGTTTGGAACCAGAGTGCCACGGAGACAGCCGTGATGTGTGATCCGCTATACTCATCGATTGCGGACCAGGCTACATATAGATAGGAACAGTGGAGATGAGGTACTGACGTCACTGGAACATGTGATTTCTTGTGACCGATGTAGCGAAGGGAACCTGCTTAGTGACCGATCATTTGATGACCAATGAACGCATCCACTTGACAAATACCATGCTGTTGGAACACTACTCCGTATTCTACGCGGAGATGAGGTCATTGTGCTCCAGAGCCGCTATCGTTGGGGTTCACTGAGGGTACCAGCACGCTGGCTGGCACGCTGGCACGCGCCGTAGTAAATGTCCGCCAGAAGCCGAGCACAGTGTGACGTAAGGACCACACGAAATACTGTCGGGGCTGAACAATACAGGGCTGATATTCCCGCGAGTGTTGTGCGGTACAGCGTACTCCGGGCACGGGCCGGCCCGCGTCCGGCTGTCGCCAGCCGGCGCGCCGTGCAGAGCCGACTGCCGGTGCCCCGGTGTCGGTGCTGTGTACCGCCGCAGAGGCGACGTGCGCCAGGAACGGGTGTGATTCAGTGCTGTGCGCCCCACTAGCGCCACCTGTCATACTCTTCCTGGCATCGCGTCCCTCGCACGCAGTGAGCGCAGTTGGCTTGCGTGCCAGCCGTCGGGGCGGGTCTTACAGGGACCGTCGGGTCGTTTGCGTAGTGGCCTCGTGACCGGGCGCTGGAGTGTGCCAGGTCCCTGACCGGCGCCGGCCGCCGGCAGCGTTCCTGCTCTGCAACCTGCCGACCGAGCACCGCCAGAATGTGAAGGTGCAGCCCGTCTGCTCGGGCCTCAAGAAGCTGCTGCAAGACCCCGACTGGCACGTGCGCTCGCAGGCGGCCAAGGCCATCTCCCTACTGCACGACTACTGAGGCCGCCCGGCGTCCGCCGCCGGGGCTGGTGGTGCAGGACGGCGCTGGTGCACGGCAGCGCAGACGGCTCCGCCGCGCTCGCGTGCTGCACGGCCTGGCAGCCGTGGCAGCACCACCGCCCCCTGGTGGCGGGCTGGTTCGCTCGGCTTCGCGATCGGCGCGCTGCGCGAACGGTAGCGGGCTGGCGGCGGGCGGTGAGCCGCGCTTCCTGGTCAGCAGGACCGTGGGCGGGACTTGTGCCCGGGTTAGGGCTTGGCCAGAGCTCAGTTACGGTCGCGTGTCACGTGCGCCCGCGGGCGAAGCGTGCCTCTTCGACTGGCTTATGTTTATCAAACGGCAACGTTCCGAGGACTGTCCATTCCGCATATCTGAAACGCGAAGTTTCATGCGTGACCATCAGGCCTGCCCCGGGTGTAGGGAGTATGCAGCTGTATCAGCCTTCTCCGCCCGTCCACGGCGGTATTTCTTGCCGTTTGGGGCTGGCAGCTGTGGTTGACAATCCCCCCGACAGGTGGCAGGGGCGGCTCGGCCCGGCGGCTGCAGTGCCTTTCCCCGAGCAGATTGTGTCCGGGTTTCCTTTCAGTGCAATGAGACATTCCCGAAGTGGCGGCATTATCTTTTTGCGTTGCCATCGTGTGTCCCGCCGGCTGGGAACCGTGTGGCAACACACATATATACTACGCGAATGTAAAGGCAGCCCGTGCGCCACTATCCAGTGTGGCGTTCCGGCGTTATCGCTGAGTGATAGTGTTTTATTGATATCTGAGGCGTAATAAACATGAATTCTGGCGGTTAACGACGTGTTCCGTACCATTGGCCGTTTTCTCATGAGCGCCGTACGGCACTGCGAAACGCAATGTTCGACATGGTACCAAACGAAGTGGCAAGGAAACAGCTGTAAGTGCCGTTCAGCTGCAGTGTCTCAGCTGTGTACAACGGCAGGGTGCGCTCCGCGATCTCAAGCCTGATAGCTGCCAAACGACTCCACAAGGGTGCAAAAGGGCCTCGGCCATCAGTGCCTTCCTTATGTCACAAGACGTCACATTGCATAATCAATGAATAGCTCTACAAGCACATTGGATTGCACGCTGTAACACCTCCATCCTGTCCTGGGTGAGGGGCTGAGAAGAAGAGCTTAAAGCACGCCGCATTCGGTGCCCTGTCTGTGGGCACAATGTCATCTAGCACCAAGAGAACTGTGCTGAGAATGTATCTATGCAGACTGGCCACTGCACCTGTAAATGGCTCGGTCGTAAAGGTAAGCAGATAGTCCAGACAAGACAACATAAAAAAGAGTACCGACACAAGAACTTGATACCGCTTGAGTTCTAGCGCATTACTGACGTAATGTTTTGACAACACGGATAAAACGGTGCAATGATGCGCACTAGAGGATCCATGGACCTGCCTCTGTTTTTTTTTTGTCGTATTCGTGACATGAATGGAGCTGATGAGCGCAGCAGGAGAGTACTACTGTAGGTGACGGTCAGAAATGGTGGAATCGCCCATGCGCAGTCACGCTGCTCCCCGTTTGGATCACCTTCAAAGCCTTACTCCACGTCAGTGACTTTTCAATAGGGCTGTTTAATGTTGAAATGACTGCGTCATTAGTGGTTTGAATGCGCCGGTATTGTATGAGGAGTCAATGAGGTAAATGTGACAATTCATATATGGTCAGATTTTTATTGATCTTGGGTGGCTGGACCAGACTTGTTTAGTCAACCCTGTACCAAAAGAAATCACCGGTTCCAACCCTGAGTTTTGTGGCTCTCATCTTTTTACATCACTAAGTTTGGGCATGTTAGATGCATGTGTGATACGGACTGACGGTGAGAAACACGACCCTGGCATGTTCTGGCGTAAGGTGATGTTGAATGATGTGTAAAGACCAAATGCATTTAGTCATAACATATCTGAGAGTTTGGACCACACCATGTGACCTGGTGACTTTCAGTCACAGTCATTGTCAGAGTTAGCTTTGATTTGTGAATATGCCTAGTTTACCAATGGCTTTTCAATAGAAAAGAAGCCTTCCCAAATTGTCAACTAGTTAAGTGTTGTAACCTAGAATTGGAAACTATGTGCAAATTATGACCAATCATCTTGTCGTGCATTTCACTGAAAAGACAATTGATACTGTCAGACTGTTGCTGACATCCTTCATAGGTTGACATGATGCAAGATTATGTCTTGCAACAAGGGTATAATTTTGGAAGACTATGCCCTTGCTTAGTTAGGGGGAGCTGAGTATTGAAAAACAACAGTTTTCCCCCAAGGTATTCCAACAAATGGGTTACTCCCCAGATTTCGTCCAGCCCCTTATCAAATTGGGGGGGGGGGGGGCAGTCTCCCCCTCCCTCAACTGAAAGAGACATTACACACCTGGTTTGCAACACGACTAGTGGCTTCATTTTTGTCGTAAGGTGTGGGTGGCACACAGGTAGGTGTGCTGGAATGCTTCTTGAAGTGTGGTAGAGGTACGAAAATGCCCCCTACTATCCAAGGCTTTATTTAGCTCGATTGAGCCTTGCCTGACAGAAGGCGACTGAAAACAAATGTGAACTATGAATACCAGCAACCATATCACAAAATCACCACATTTTCCTCCGCCTGCCAGTCTACGCATCACATAACAACAGAAACACTGGAACACTTCAGCTTGCGCTTTGACCCTGTATCGCGATTAGCGGCGGAAGGCTCCGGTGACAGTGCGCGTTCCCCAGCCACTCGAGCGTTACCCACACTCTACACGTTCGTAGCCGCGTGATGACCATTTACATGACGTAGTCCCGGAAACGCTCAGGTGCGCTTGTTTTACATGACGTAGTCCCGGAAACGCTCAGGCGCGCTTGTTTTACGACAGGAGCGTCACGATTGAATCACCAGAACAGACTCGGGCGGAGACGCGTCTGTACCTGCAGGCACTGGTGGCAGACATGGGGGTGCTGCAGAAGGCACCTCTGTCACGTGGTCGGGCACAGAGGGGGCATCAACAGGTGGAACATTCAGTACAGTTGGCACCTCTGAAAGTGAAATGTCTGCAGGGGCAGTTGTTTGATGCTGGGCCGGACCGTCGTCCCCGCGCGGGGCTCATGTCTGAGCGAGACAATGGTTTCATGACCGTCAGCTAGACGAACATGGTGTACTAAGGGTTTTCCTCCAACAACTCGACCTCATTAACAGGAGGTTCGTACTTACTTCTACGCACATGCCTCCTGACGAGAACTCTGCCCGAGGTAGCCGCCCACGTCGGCACGGAATGACCACTGGTCGAGCGACGCTGGTATTGAAAAAGACGTCCGTGCGGTGTAACATTGGTGGTGGTACGCGAGAAGTTACGGATGGGGTGCAGGGCATCAGAAAGCATGGGCGTAGGAACGTTTCAAAAAGTGGGAGGGGGCAACCTCAGGGTGTATTCAGGAGCTATTTCTGGAAAGCGAGCCCGATGACCCAGGGGGGGGGAGGGGTAAGGATGGAGGTTGTTGCCGCTCTTTATTCAAATGGCATGGCTGTTATGCTGGATACGCATATAGAGCTGTTTATCACTGGTGCACAATTTTGCCTATTCGACTCATGTGCCATTTGGCAATAAGGCTATCCAGCTTCCCTAGGTTATTCGTCCATTTTAACATTGTCTTTCCTGGGGAGGCGAAATTCCACGAGTGGTTAGGCATTTGGGGTCATTAAGGAAACATCCGCCGCCACAGTGTAGATGCCGAAATACGGCCCGGATATAGGCTGGTGAGAATTTTGAGAGCGGATCGATGGCTCTCAGCACGACAGATTTTTCATGCGCTTCCACTTCGCTGGCTGTTTTTCAAGACATACGAATTGTCGCAGCATTTTAGGCGGAAACAAATTCGGGAGCTTGAAACTGCTAGAAACAATGTGACAAAAGCCATGAAACTGGAGTTTCTTTTAAGAATCAAGCCACATAAAAAGGACAATCTGTCATATGTTGCTTATCTGGGCCCTGCTCCTGTCCGCCGTCGGTGGGCACTGTTCTGGCCCGGATGTATCCCGCATGACTGACTGCGAACTGATCGTATGGCTGCCTTGTTGCATACTTTTGGACCAGCGTTACTACCACATGGTGTATGGAACACCTGTTGGACACCTGTAATAGTACCTTTTTCCGACTTATATTAAATCACACCACACCATCGCAAAAAGCATTCGGGAAGCTATCTGCGCTAGGCATGAATTGGCCCAACGGACACTTCATTGCCCATCATGCAATGTATACGAGTTGATCTGCTTTTGTGTGTAGACAGGGGCGCAGCCAGAGCCTTGCCAGGGGGGAACACAAGATTGACAAAGGCCCATCTTATGGTGACCCGCCCCCCAAAAAAAGAGAAATATCCCAGATATGGCTTACTTGTTTACAAGCGACAGGGTTTTCTTCGTGTTATTGTTTTTGTTTTGCCTTGCAACCAGAACAGAAACCAGGAGCTACCGTGAGCTCAATTCCGTCTGTATTTTGAGGCCAATAAGCCGCAGAAATTAGGCGTTGAACGACTGCATGGAAGAAATCACCGGCGCTTATTATAATCACCGGCGCTTATCGTGATCACCGGCGCTTGTTATAATCACCGGCGCTTATTATAATCACAGGCGCTAATTTACATCGTTAGTTGGCTCTTTCTAAACCGATAACATTCAGAAGCTTTGTCAATTTTTTTATATGGGTTCTACAGACATTGAGGACATCGCGAAGGCAGATTGTAGATCGATACGTTTGATCCAAATTTGGACATGAAAATTTGATTGCAGATCGAGTGGTCAACAATATGTATTACATGGCTAAGCCATGTTCGCCCGAAAATGTTCACCATTCAGTCAGAGTCGATAAGTGATACAATTTATGGAACGTGTTTTTTGAACATCCACGTTCGCAAATCTTACCAACAAAAACCTCGACCCCAGGCGTTGCAGTCTCCATGGTCCGCGGAGCATTAGTCCAGTAGCTAATACTTGGTCGTGGCCCACCGGTGGACGAAAATGCCGACACTTCTGGAATGATCATCCTTAGACACTTAAATCGACTAATAAGACAAGTTATGTGACGTAATTTTG